GTCTCGAAATATTCACTAGAAAATTTTATTACTTTTTTTGTTTAACATTTTATTAATTTTTATGAGTTTTCCAGGCCTGAAAATAATTGTTTTAAAATTCCCTAATATGTCCAGGTTTTTCGTGACTGTGGAAACCATATTCTTTATTTTTTGGAAGTTCATCTTTGAGTCATAAAAAGTGAGAATGCATTTCCTGTCATTTTGCTCCTCAGTCTTCAGCTTGTGTCTGACAGAATAATGTGAGTCACTGTTTTTCTTGGTGTCCGTTGAACTTTGTGAGTCTGACACATGCCTTTAATGAGCACTGTTTGTACCACATTCCAGCTCTGGATATAACCTTTAAAGACATAAAAGTCACCATACAACTCCATTCATATGGACTGATTATTTTAGGCTGCAACGTCAGGACAGTTTGGTTCTCTTTAAGAAATATTTCACAGTCTTCTCAGGTTAATGATGGGCCACCAGGTATGAGTCATTGTTGGTGATTAAATTAAACGTGTTTTCATCTTGATAGAAATGGATGTCTCTCCAACCCCCACAGTCTGCTCTTACAGTAGCTTGTCTGTGGGAGAGAACATCAGACGCATGGATATTAATGCAGGCTGAGTAGGAGTAGACTTCAAACGAAGAAATGAGAGTGGTTGAGAGTGACCTGGACTTGGTATTAGGGTCCAGTTAATTTAAAATTGACTTCTTTGGCTTCCTTCAGCACAAAAGGCTCAACTCACTGACAGCCCACCTACAAACCAGTTCACTCACCACTAGCAATATCTATGAGGCAACCTTGTACTGTAGTTAAAAAAAAAATTGGTAACACTTTACACTAAAGATAATGCATAAATTAGTTAATGCATCAACTAACAATGAACAATGTCTTTTTACAGCATTTATTAACCTTTGGTAATGTTAATAAAAATGTTCATGTTAGTTCACAGCATTAAGTTAACAGATAGAATTTAATTTTAATAATGTTGAATTTAACGTTAACTAAGATTAGTAAATGCCGTGTAAGTACTGTTCATGTTAACTGATACTTAACTACACTGAAAAAATGTTTAATTCATCCAATTAAAAAAATGTAGGGTAATGATTCAAATCTATATTTTTTTAACTTGAGATATATTGTTTACCCTAAGGGCAAGTTATTTATTTTTCATTGGCTCAAGTTAAAAAATATAGATGTGAATCATTACCCTAATTTTTTTTTTAATTGGATGAATTAAACATTTTTTTCAGTGTACTGTTAACAATGAGATACTGCTTAGGAATAATGTACATTAATTAAACATCACTTACATGGCTAGGCATACCCACCAAATAAATAAATATGTGGACATGAAATACTGATTCAAGTTTAACGTATTTTATAATCTTACATGTAGCCTATGTTATGTTCGTGTACAGTATGTCAGCTTCTGCTAAGAAAAAAAAACAGCCCATGACAATGTAGAAAACAATCAGAATACAAACACAACAACAGTATTACAGTAATATTAATATCAAGTAATTTCACTGGGAATTTGCGCATTTTCATTCCTGTCAAAAAATATAGCACTACCCTTACTTAGATCTATTGACCAGTTGGAGTCAAGTATTCCAGAGTAATAAATGCATATGAATTGCTGAACTGGAATCTTTTTTCGATGGCTTCTTCGATAGTGATTTACCTCTCAACAATCATAATGAGTAGGCCTACGCATTGCAGGTCATCACCTATTAATTGCTTAGCTGACTCACTGCAAGTTAAGATCGGATTATAAGTGATGTAGCCCTTCCTACAGCCCGAGACACTTGGATAGTCTCCAGCATCCTTGCCATCCTACACAGCACAAGCAGTTTGGAAAATGGATGCATGAGTGGATGGATGCTAAGCCTGTGGGATGGATCATTCCTACATCAATTAACTTGTGCTCACCTTGCTCATTCCTCAAACTACTGCTGAACTCTGGCTTTGCTAATGGCACTCTTGAGGATGAAGAAAAAGTTGACATGATTGTTATTCCATTTATTGGAAATGATGAAAAAGTGGAGGATATGCAACATTTGTCCTAGCATCTGGTTTTAGCATTGTCTTGAACAGAATGCTACAGTCATATCTTATTACCTTTTTTTCTCCTAACAAATGGTGTCACAATAAGCAGCTTGAGGAAGGACACATGCAGTATATTCTAAGCAAATCCAGTGTACACTTTTCCACTCTTACTCAGGGAAGTCAGGGTGACCTATTTTTGACCATGACACAGCTATGGCATTTCATACCGAAAGGAGATAATGAGGGCTCTATTTTATCTTGTCTGTGAGTAAGAAGGTGACATTTATATTACTGTGGCTAATGGAGAAGAAACACAGGAAGTACTATAGTGACACCGTCCCCTCCCTGGTGAACTCTACCTGCTACTGTGCATTTTCTTCTCTCACAGAGCTGGACACTAGCTGGATTTACTCAGCTATCTGTCTCCATGGCTGAGCTTTAAAAAAAAATCAATAACCCATAAACAGGTCTGTAGCCCATAGTCACTTCCTTTCAACATCAGTGTGCCTCCTCCCTCTGCACACACACACAACACACTGTAAGTACAAAAATTAGTCAAGTCAGTGTATATGTGTGTACGTACCCTTTGGCTCCTAACAAAGGCAAACTAAATTAAGAAGAGGAAAACTCATTTCCTGATAACTTACTTAGACAATCAGGGACAGATAACTGCCCGTTCCCCTTAAACAAAGGAGAGGGAACGAACTGGTCATCATGGAAGACTGGTTCAGATTTAAAGACATGAGATGTTGTGTAATTATGTATGTTTGCTTGAAATTAAAATGGATGTTGAATATATGCATGGGGTGGACAGAAGGCTCTCACCCCTGAAGTAACCCCCAAATGATCCAATAAATCTGTAATGTGCCTCATTCAACTTCATAATTGTGATGAATGCCATTGTGGCCATTTTGTGTTTTGCTTAACCCACACAGAGTCTAAACATCAGTAAACAAACTGGAAAACAGTGTCTTGACCCTTCAGAGCTCCTACTACAACAGAAGATTCTTCTTCTGCACCTGCATACTAATTTATAAGAGCACTGGTTTGTAAAAATTAAATGTGATTTTTAAATAATACTAACCAAAGATTACACAACCAGTAATGTGTAATAGCAACACACAGTAGTAGTGTTTTTTCAACAAATGGGTTGGGAGAATGATTCAATGACTCAGTCATAAAAAAGTATCTTGTTTATTATCTGAATTAATCCACCTCACCCATAAAGACAATCACTTGCAAGTTGCTACCTACTAGTGTAACCTGCAGAAAAAAAGACTACATAAAAAGAAAAAAAATTAATTAAAAATTAAATTAAATTAAATTAAATTAAATTTAAGGCATGAGCACCGTAAGAGAAAAATGCAGTGTGGTCCTTGTCTCTCAATGACCTCTTCCTATCCCACATGGTAAATAATAAAACCAGACATCAATTTTTGTTCTCATGTGACAGCACTGACAGCAGAGTTGATAGGTAGTCTGTTCTGGCAGGACTGCTGAATGTGTGCTTTTGAATAAAATCAACTCCAGACGCTGTAGACAGGCTGAAGAGTCAAACTGTCATGAGTTGAGGATACACCTAAAGTCTAGGATCCTGTGTTCCTATGTGTCTGTTAGCTTTCATTCTTTAGACCTCAGGCCTGCTCTCATGTAAACCGAGGGTGGGCTGAAAATAAACACCTATTAAAGCCATTTTATTCCTGTTCTTCAGAGAACCATGACAGCATGAACTCCCTGGACCATGTGCTTGGGAGATATTTTTGGCACAGATTAGAGCACAGTAACCCATGACAGACACAAAAATATGCCAGAGGGGGCATGAAGACATGGGCATCACTTAATTGTTGTGACCACAAGATACTTCAGTGCATCTGTGAGTCTAGCTACACATGGATGTTTTATGGCTATCACAGAGGAGGATGTGGATTATCTTTCTTTTAATCTGAGATACAAGACTTTGTGCGGCTTGCAGGCCGTGCTGGTTGTCAAATGTCCATGATATGCTTTTGCATGTCTTATTACACACCAGAAATGTTTGCTTTTGACCAAAATGTCCTTTTACAACAGGCCACTGTTTGATAAAAACAGCCTGATGAACTGCAGAACAACATCTCTAAATCCTCCTGCGGCTATTAGTTAAACTGAATTGCAAACCGTAGTATGTTGTGTTTCTGTTGGATTCTCAAATTATGCATTCACAAATATTCTTTGGGCTAATGCCTCTTGCTCTACGGAAAAGGAGGGATTTGTGGCCATTCTCTTTCAGCTTTTCCACTTGCTCACTGATGATCATGAGGCCATAGTCCAAATGACTGGGAAAAAAATATATAAATATATATATTTGACAAGAACACACACATTATATATATATATATATATATATATATATACACATATTATATATATACATATATATACAGTGGTGTGAAAAAGTGTTGGCCCCCTTCCTGATTTCTTATTTTTTTGCATGTTTGTCACACTTTAAACACTAGTAAAAGGTAACACAAGTGAACACAACATGCAGTGTGTGTGTGTGTGTGTGTGCGTGTGTGTGTGTGTGTGTGTGTTCTTGTCAAATTTAAGGGTTGAGGTGAATTTAGATTACATGGCTACAAAGGAGCTGATGCCATTTTATAACAGGTTATGTTGTAATACTGGTGAACTGTCTTACTAAATACTCAAAAATACATACTCATATAGACAGACTCTTATATACTCCAATTAGTACCATAGCAGAGAAGTGGTTAGAAGAATTGTATTGTATTTCATAAACACACCATGCAATGCACTCTGAGTTCAAATATGCACAAAGTTAATGACTGTGCATATCTCACTGCCCATGTAAACACACGCAAATGATCAGACCTCAGTCAAGCAGTCATCCAAATTAAAAGCACTGTCTCACGCTAAATAACTCTAAACATACTATTCATGAATATTAATCGGTTCTGCACAGTATTATTACACTCCCCATAAGAGCAGATAGTTCTTGTTAAAGATCCTGTCTTTCCTCTTAGGCTTTGCAGCACGATCAGGAATCTCATCACTCTTCTCCATCCCTTGTTCTGGTTAAGTTTAGAGTCACTCCAGAGGGGAATGGGAGAGACTAATAGCCTTAACCCTTGTGTTGAACAAAGTCACAAAATTTCAGTCCAATGCGATAACATTAACTAGTATTTTCGGGAAAAATATTTTTTTTTCAGAGCAAAAAGGACCCGAACACCACATGAGGGTTTTAATAGGAGGAATGCTTTGCCGCAGCATTCATTGTTTTGAGTAATTGACTTTTTTTCTCAGTAGCTGCAGATTCTTTTTGTTTTTTAAAGTCTTTAATGATCAGTACTGGACTGTGTCATTATTGAATAGTGTTACAGTCACTCAGTTATAGCAGCTTTAAAATAACCCCCCCACCCCAGCTTTAGATTCACCGTAACATGGTCCAGATGGTGGCAGACTTACGTCAACATAAAATGAGTGAGAAAATCAATTATGAACCTTCTATCTTGGATGTGTGGAGTGATGTCATACAGGTTGCAGTTTAGAGGTGTAAAACAGAGTCAGTGTCACATTGCTTCCAATTATATTTCTGGGTAAGCATTAACAACACTTTTTTGAAATGTGCTAAAATGAAACTGATTCTTCTGTTTGGATAAATATAGAGTACCCCACAGTACGGATCTGTGCACCTCCTTTACAGAATAGTGTTTTGACTGTTCACACTGTTCATTTAAGTCTTATTAGGTTATTAAAGGAATCAAAAATTCATATACAGAGATTTCTGAATTGGAATTAACTGAACATAAGATTTTCATGTTTGCCTCTTTTCTCAACAGCACAGATCAGTGTTTTTTTTTTTAAAGTTAGCATTGAATGGAAGTTGCAATTGTCTTTTCTTTCTTATTGTGACATACTGTATACCTGAATGAAACTGCTTCTTGAACGAGAAAAAAATGTAGGGCAGGATTTAATTTGGTCTATTGGGAATTAATTGGATCGTTGGATCATTGTTATTTGCTGTTGCCGGAATCTCATGTGATTGACAGGTTGCTGGAGAGGAGAGGTTATTGTCCCGCCTTCAGGCTAGTGAACACATCATCAGAGAAATTATTTCATTGCAAGAGGGAGGGAAAGTTATTTTGATTAAAGAGTAAGAGAGCACATGAATTAGAAAAATCATAAAAATAATAATAATAAAAAATAATAATAATAAGGTAACACTTTAGAATAGGGAACACAGTCACTATTAACTAAGAGTTTTCCCTGAACAAACTCCTAATTTGCTGCTTATTAATAGGAAGTCAGGTAGTTGTTAAGTTTAGTTATGAGGTGGATCAAGGGATCTAAAATACAGTCATGCAGAATAAGGCATTAATATGTACTTTATAAGTACTAATAAACAGCCAATATGCTAGTAATATGCATACTAATAAGCAACTAATTAATAGCAAGAACTGATCCTTAAAATAAAGTGTTACCAAAAATAATGTGCATGGATAAATCATTTATAATAAACACTGCAGTATTCCATAAAAAAAACAAGAATTGTTGATTTTGATTTCATGACGACTTTAAAGTATGAGGAACTGTTTGTCAGATACATGCAAGGAAAAAATAGCTAAGCAATTCTATTGTCATTTTAATAATTATATTTATATAATAATAATAATAATAATAATAATAATAATGCAACACAATTTCATGGCCAGTAATTTTTTTTTCAATCATTTTTTTCAACCACAATTAATGTTGACAATACAGCACAAGAAGATAACATATATTTATTAATTGTTTTTGATGAAAATTATCATAAATTTAATCTGACTTAGTTTAATCAAGAAATCGTATGACATGAAATAGAAATATTTAAAATTAAGAGCACTATTTCTAGATCACTAATCAAATTTGTAACAATGTGAACTTCTTTGTTTAAAAGGTCAGATGTTTTTCCATTGAAGCAAATCATGAACATTTATAATTTTATATTGTAAGGTAATATGTGAGAAAAAAAATAAAATGTAAAAATGCTAGATAGATAGATAGATAGATAGATAGATAGATAGATAGATTAGATAGATAGATAGATAGATAGATAGATAGATAGATAGATCATCCCTCACTATATAAGGATAAGGTGGTGAGGGAGGTTACAAGAGCTCTTAGCCTATCAAAACCATGCACATGGGAGTAATTCTCTCTCCTCTCTACCCCCCCTCCCCCTCTCTCTCTCTGTCTCTGCCTGAGTGTGACTTAGCTGTGGCTCTGGTCTGCATGCACAGCAGTAGGAAGCCAACTGAGACACAGTGATCATCTCTGCTGCCTCCCTGGTTAAATCTGCATGGCGATTTAACACAGAGATTACATCTGCATTAAGAGCACTGTGTTTCACCAGCAACTACACAAGTAGATTAGAGCCTGATGCTTGCCTGGTGCTGGATTATTAGGAGGATCATTTCTCCAAAGCGGGAGAAGTGATTAGACATCAGCATGTTGTGCGTTTCTGCATAGCGATAGAGTTTAACAACCTCAGCTCTTTCAGTGATTCAGTTCTTCAAGTGTTCAGTTGTGTCCTCACTGTGGTGCCTGAAGCTGAGCAAATGGTTCTCTCCAAGGAATCCTCAACTACTTCAACGTGTTTCAATCTCCAGTATTCGTCAGAGCAAGAATGAATTTTAACAGAGAAGAACAGCAAATCAATTAGTTGGATGTCAGGTTATCTGCAAAGCTTGGACAGGTGAAGGTGTGTGCCGTTTCAGAAAGAAGGGAGAACTTTGGAAGAATCCCTTACGAGCGTGCTTCAGGAGAACCTGGAGAGATGTCCAAACCTTCACGTTTGGTCAAACCCTCCAAGCAGTCCCGAAAGGAACCTCCAGGGAACCGCTCACACATGCTGGTCGTCGGGGAGAGGTTGATGAAGGCTGGCAGTGAGGGCAACCTGGTGAGATCCAGACCACCCCAGAAGCCTTCTGACACCAATCCAGTGGTTTCCAATCCAGGTATTATGCTTCCTAAATCTGATTGGTTTTAGCATTATCTCACCTAGTTTATTAGATATATGTCACACTACAAAATATTAGACATATGACCATGCACATGCATACAGATATGCTTACGGTTCTGCCATGAGTTTAGATCCACCCATCGAGGAGTTATTGTACGGTATTCCTGACTGCAGCACATGAGTGCGCTTGTATAGTTTGGCTGATGCCTTCTCTGTATGGGAGGATTAAGACGGGTTTGACCCTCAGTGTTCACTCTGCTGATTAGTTACATTCCCCTCCTCATCATCAAATTCTCTCACATCACTTGATCTCAGTGCTAATCAAAGCAGCAACTCTCAGCTAGATTCACTGAGAGTTCCACACGTTTTTAAACAGTGACTGAATAGGTAGCTGAACACACTGATTTAAGCATAAAATGATTAGAAATGGTTTATGAGCCAGAAGATTTTATCAACCTATGCTATTTCAGACTGATTTTGATGTCTATTTTCAGTAGGTTGACTTTATAATCTCTAAAAAGCCTCTCAATTGATGTCAGCGGTTGACTTACAAGTTTTGACAGTGCAGTTAGGCAAAGGTTTTGAAGAACTGTCATCGCACTAATTAGGTCAGTTTAGAAACCACATGGTAGCTAATGGGTACAGGGACTGAGGCTTCTCAAATCAATTAATATTATATCAGACATCTTCCACAGAAGACATTCTTGTGGTTCATCACTGTAAACACACACATACACACACACACACACACACACACACACACACACACATTGGTATTCCTATCATTGTGGGGACATTCCATTGACGTAATGTTTTTTTTATACTGTGCAAACTGTATTTTCTATCCCCCTACCCCTACCCCTAGCCCTAAACCTACTCCTCACACCAAACTTTCTGCATTTTTACATTTTCAAAAAAACTTAATTCTGTAAGATTTATAAGCTTGTTTCCTCATGGGGACCAAAACAATTTCCCCACTTGGTCAAAATCTACTGGTATTACCCTTGTGGGGACATTTAGTCTCCGTAATGTAGGGAATACCAGGTACACCCATACACACACACACACACACACACACACACACACAATATGAAAGTAACACATACACAAACAAAACAAGGGCAGTTATCAGGCGCTACATTCTTTGTAATGCAAGTTCTATAATGGTAACACAAATAGCAAACATGAAATTTAAAATCGAATTCCAGTAGTACACTTAACTAAATACATAAACTTGTTTTGCACATTTTTGCAGAATAGCTAAGTAATTCAGTACAAACTCAGTAGCATGCTGGGTAAGTGGTGGTGCTACAGTAGTATATAGAATCTTTAAAAAAATGCTGTTTGAAATTTAGAAATGTTCTTTTAAAAATTACCCACTTGAGCACACATTTACTATTATGCATTTTCTTTCCATGGTAATCTATATCATTTAAAAATGTGGGGTTTAGTAAGATTTAAAAGTAATCATACTAATATTTTATTCAGCAAAGATGCATTAAATTCAAAGTTACAGATTCAAAGTGACAGTGACTGTTTTACTTCATTACAAAAGAAAAATATATATTTTTAATAAATAGATATTGTTCTTTTAAACTTTCTATTTATCAAATAATCCTTAAAAATGCATCTGGGTTTCCACAAAAATAATAAACAGCACAACATTGATAATAATAAGAAATGTTTTTTGAGCACCATAGCAGAATAATTTCTGAAGGATCATGTGGCACTGGAGTAATGCCTGCTGAAAATTCAGCTATGCCATCATAAGAATTCATTACTTTTTTTAAATATATTCAAATAAAAAAGTTATTGTAAAGTGTAGTAAAATAATATATATATATGTATATAGTGTTTGCTATATTAATGAAAAATCTTACTGACCCCATGCAGTCTTTTCAACGGTAATAAATGTATATTGTATATCTGTTACTACCTGCTTTCAATTTGACTGCTATTTGCTGTTCTGGTGTGTGTGATTTTTTTTTTCATGTATAGCGCTATTTATGTTATCAGTCTCCTGTGACTTTCAAATGCCAAAATAGTTTTCTTTCACTTC